AAAAGACCATTTCAACAACTATAAAACGGCTATATTTCAAGGGTAAATGGGTAATTTGAAAAATAAAATAAAATATTTTATTTTTTTTACTTTTTTCGGCCAACCCGCCGGGTTGCACACAACCAACCCAGCGGGTTGCTGGGTCTCTTGCAAAAGAGACAAAATAGCAACCCGCCGGGTTGCGGGTTGCCATTGTGCAACCCGGCCCGCCCGGGGGTTGCTGCCGGGTTAGGGTCAACCCGGACCGCCATCTTGGCGGTCCGGGCTTAACCCTCATTTTCCCGGGCCGGGTTAGGGTTGACCCGCCTAACCCGGCCCAAATTTTCCACCTCTACCTCCATCCCCAACTCCTGGGGGCACGACCTTATTGTCCCCAGGCTGATCGTCGTCCACCTGGCCGGCTGCGAGCTCCTCTGGGACATACTCCGGATGCTCTTCCAGGTCAGGTCCTAGGGCAGACTCCGCTGCATCCCCATCGTCAAGCTGTTCCATGGATCTAAGGATGTCCCGGTATTCCTTTGGGAGGTCGGACAAATCCATTTTGGGATTCTTCGGCCGTAGGGCATAGATGGACTGAATTGCCCATTCAGCAGCCTTCTTCTCGATCTCCGACTCTTGTGCTGCATCTCTTCGGTCAGCGAAATGACCTGGCCCTGGCTAACTTGGAGTTTGGCCTCAAGCGCCCACCTTTGCTTTTCGATGGCCTCCCATAGCTCCACCATTTCCCGCTCTGCTCGTAAGGCCCGCTGGGAGGTCGTTTGCAGCTCTTGCTCTTTCTTGCTAACCTCTCTAGTGAGTCTGGCCACCGTCCTCTGGAGCTCCTTTACCTCCTCTCCGTGTTTCTCTAGCTCGGGCTTCTGAAAGTCCACCGTGCGAAGAGCATCATTCCTTTCATTCAGATACTGGTTCGCCGAAATGGTGGACAAGTCTTTCTCTACTTCAGTGGCTTCTAACTCCCCTTTAAGCCACGTGTTCTCTTCTCTCAGCGCTACTATCCCCTCGGTAGCTTCTAGCTGGACCTTTTGTAGGGACAATTGCATAGAGAGCAGAGCCTGTGAACGAAAAGAGTAACAAGTTAGTTTCCTTGCTACTGAAAAGAATAAATGTAAAGTCCTCGCCGAGGACAGCTCGTTCTACTTTGCTCAGGTGCTGAGTGGATATGGACATCAAGTCCACAGGGTTGGAAGCCACGAACTTCTCAAAAGCCTCCACGAGCCCGCATTCCAGCAAGGTAAAAACCACCGGCTGCAGGTGATCCAGAAGTTGCCACATCGAGTCCAGCAGGAGTCGTATCGCTCACTGGTTCCTTGCCTGGTCTCCTCCCAAGGTCCGCAGCCTCGCTTTGCCTTGTTCGCAGCTCCCCCGAAGCAATGGAGATGACGGTCGCACCCATGGAAGGCCCTCCCAAGCGAAACGCTTGGTATAGCTGTGATCTCTCTGGCTAAACCCCCATGCCCTCCAGTTTGGACTTTAACTCTTTGGTCTGAAGTTGCTTTCGCTTCTTGGACTTTTGGGCCATGGTCTTGTGCTTCGGGCGAACAACCGAAGGCTAGGGAACCCTAGCAGGTCGTATCAGAGCACCTGTCGGTGCCCCTCCGATGGGGGGACCGTTGGGAGCTGCTCTAGTCGGTCCGGTAGCACTTACTCGGGGAAAGGTGAACTGTCTCGGTCGTGGCAATCTGGGCACCTTGGGAGGCATGGTCGCTGCATACGAACATCAGTAGCAAAACAGTTCGCTACGTAAAAAATCAAAAAATAAGCTAAGGTTATGAATCTTACTTGATGTGGTCTCTAGGGTCGCTTCGGAGTTGAAGAAACCATACTTCAGCAAATTTATGGTTGTCACGAGCAATCTTACGTTGCGACTCTCTTCGGACAGAAAGTTGAAGGTAGTGATCCTGTTCAGATCCTCGAGGAGTGTTAACCTGGTCATTTTGTTAACTGCAAAGAAACAGAGAGCTCGTTAGCGAAGAACAAAAGTAAGTTCGCAAACTCAAAAGAAAGGAGAACCTACTCGGCTCCTGAAAATGGCAAATGCCATCATGACGAAAGAAAAAGAACTTCGTCTCGTATGCCCCTACGTTGCTCACATAACTATGTATTCCTGCTTCGATAGTAGGTCGTTTGGAGAGATAGTAGGAATCCTTGTCCTTACTTTTTTTCAGAATGTACGAGCAACCGAGCTCTAGTGTAGATAGCTCGCCCAATCCGTTTTCGTCGCACACGATGTACATAGCCACGACTATCAAATACGCGTTCGGCGTGAGTTATAATGGTACGATCCCAAAATGATCGAAGACCGACTTGACAAAAGGGTGGAAAGGGATCAACCCTCCACTCTTGAATATGTTCTCGGAGATCGTAGCCATCCCTCGTGGCGGACTCCGAGCTATGTGCACCCTATCTCAGAAGACCTCCACGCTGAGAGTGTATTGGTCTACCACCCTCTGAATCTCCTCGGCAGTAATTATCGATAGAATCTCTTGAGGGGGACCCGTAGGAGCATCCTACACAGGCGAACTGGTCCCCTTCTCAGTTCTGGTCGTTGGGAAGTCTATTCTTCTGCGGTCTGAAAAGAAAAGCGACATGCGGGGAATCACTCTGTCATTGTACACTGTTTCGTACGATGACGTGGAGGAAAAAAGTAAAAGCTTCATCCCTTAAACCCTAGAAAAACCCTAACATAATACTTTTAGAAGCCACCGTCAAATGGCTCAAACCCAAGGAGAATATTTCATCTCCAATCAACTAACGATAGACTATCATCGCATGGAAACTATCGAAAGCAAGAAATAAAAATAAGTGGCAGAGAACCCATCCTTATCTCTTGGAATGAGAAGATGAATCGTCCTGCTTCAAATATCAAGCGCGCACTAGTCTGACAGACAAAAAACCAAGGCTCACAAAAATGTTTGCTCTCTCTGAGAAGTTAAGCATTATGGCATTACCTAAAGTGAGCTTGGGGTTTAATAGTGAAGGGAGTGGCGATTTGGTTTCCCAAAGTCAAACGACGTTTAGGCAAAAAATGTATCTGACCGTTGATTGCGACCACGTGTCGCAAATCAATGGAGAAGAGTGACCGTCATGCTTTGAAAAACCAAATCGTCGTTCTCTTCCATTGAAACACTCAAGCGATGCACGTTTCACTCTTCCACATTAAATGCGCCCACATTCGCATTTAATGCTCTGATAGGGAATGTCGTTTCAGCATGACTCGCATTTAATGTGTATGACTGACACTTATTGCGCACAGGACACGTCTGTCAAAGCAAAAGATATTTCATTAAATGTATCAGTTACAAAAGTGCAACGGATAACATCTGAAGAGGTCATTATATATAACACTCGTCGTTTTATGTCGGTCGCGAAGAGACGTGACTCTTCTATCTTGTCTTACGTTAGTTGCGGAGCGACGTGACCCCTTCGGCAAAAATTTCGCTAAGTGCAATAAGGTCACAGGCCTCGATCGAAAACCAGTCATTGTTATGGCACTGAACATGGTCTAAGAATAGGTCGCTGACCCTAAAGAGGAAGCCATGTCAGGGCGCCTACATGGAAACGTTTCTTTGACCTCTTTGCAGCCAGTTCGGATCGACCAGTATCTCGTCAAACGCATCAAATTAAGACATAATATGTAGTTTCCAAGGTTTGATTCTCAAACCTTAAAAACTAGGGGACTTCTGTTATGCCTGGAAAAGTAGGGTTGACGCAGAGCCCTGTCAACATAAGCGGTCAGAGCTTAGGCAAGTCCTGCAGCTAGGTCGCACGCTGACACAAGCGGCATGCTCCTGCCAGTGCAGTAGGTGTGTGCCAGGCTGGTGAAAGGCTGGAGGCGATCCACATGTCAAATCCTTACAAGAGTCGAGTACATCACTCGAGCAGATGAATAACGGGACGCAATGAAGGATTTGCACGACAATCTGACCCACTCCCTGATTTAGTAATCATTACTTCAACTCATCCCACTATAAATAGAGGGTTCCTCTCTCGTTTGTGGGATTAGCTAATTTCTCTCTGGAATAGCATATATACTCTCTCTTTCTCTTGTAATCTTTTGTAAATCAGTTCGCTGAACGCGACCTGATGTCATATATTAATGCGATACCAGTGAATGTATGATTCGCTTATTTAGGCATCTAAACCACTTTAAACACTGTTCTTCATCTTCTATTTAGCTCAATACCCTCGTATACGTGTGTCATCTGAGTCAGCTCAGTATTTCTCACGTGCGTTTAGTTAGTGTCAAAATCACGCATCAACAAAACTCTTAACAAAATAGCCATCAAGGACAAACATATAATCATGCTTGTATCTAATTGATTATTGATGAAAGTTAAACAATTATTATTATCGAGATATATTATAATGATGCTTATGGTTTTATAAATCATGTGTGGTCATTTGGTAAAGACTAAAGACTGGGTATAAATATTTTAGGCAGAGAATTTCATCCGCTGGTACCAATCTATCTCAAGTGAGATCAACATAGATAAGTATTTTATTGGTTTTAGGGGTAGATTGAAATAAAATCAATAAATCTTAGAAATATTTGGAATGAATATAAGTATTACACTATTATTTCTACAACTACTTTAGTTTTAATTGAACTCAAAATTATAAATTTACTTCACTCTCCTCTCAATGGGATATGAAATATTAATCTTGTTTAAGTTAAAAATAAAAAGAAAAACCCAAATTTTTTTTTAAAAAAATTTCTTCTAAAAAGATTAGCTTTTTCTTTCAATATAATTTTACTTATTTATTTAGAATCTACAAATATTCAGCGAAGCCAAATTAGTAATCGCCTTTCAAGGGCAAAAGCGGAAAAACAAGCATAAGAAGGTTTAAAACCTGAAGCCGAAAAAAAACAGAACGCGAAAATCATATCACTTGAGTATATGCTTCCCCAAGGATGCTCAGATTCTCTCCATCTTCTTCATTTCCATAGCACGCAACGAAATATCTCTCTTGCTCCAGTAACTCGATCTCTTTCTCCGACGATGGAGGCAATACAGAGCAGACTGGAGACATGGATCAGAGATCAGAAAGCCAAGATGCTGAAGGTGTCATGGGGCCCACTCCAGTGGAGAATGAGGTGGCCGCCTTGGAACGGTAACGACAGAGAACAGAGGAAGAGGATTCAGGAAGAGTACGAGAGACGAAAGAAGCAACTTCAAGATCTTTGCCGAGCCTTTAAGGCCGAGTCTGTGACTGATCTTCAGGACATTTTTTGTTGCATGGTGCTCGCTGAGTGCGTTTACAAGGTAATAATCTCCTTTTTACCAGAAACATTATGATTATTATCGTTTATGAACTTGCGAAACATACATGTATTGTTTGATTGTTTTTTGCTTGTAATTGTCTAATTTATTGCCTCAAATTTTTGCGAAATTAAGTGCTCTGCTGTATTCCTTATATTTTAATGTTCTTTTAATTATGCTAATTTTAGTTATCAGGTATTTTTAGTTCATTTGAAAGAATTAGGGTTATGTCGCTTCTTTCTTGTATTGATTAGGAAAACAATGGCGGAATACTTGGGTTGTAAAGAAAATTATATAATCTTAAAAGGGAGAATATCTTTAATTGTTTATTGTGTTCTGAATTTTACAAACAATGACTGCAGGAGTGGGTTGAGGCGAGAGAATATTGTATTACTTTAGTATTAGCTTTTATGTCAGAATTTTTACCTTGCACAATTTAACGGGCTTCTTAAGCAATAAATTTGGTTCTAAATGATCATAGTGATCTGAGTTTTTGTGGATGAAGGGGAATAATGTTGAAAGGCCAAATTTGACAATTCATTGTTGTACTACTCTTGGAAACGAGAAGATTATTTCCACAGAGCTTGGAAATGTATAGATAAAGTTCATTTTGACATTAAGAAGGGAGAGGTAGCTACTATGTTCGTATTGTGAACTTTGTTGTTGCTGGAGGTTTTTGCTCACATTGCTGGGTTGCTGTTATGCTATTTTGTCTTATGTTCAAATAGCAGTTTATACTGTTTTGAAACTTAATATATTTATAAAACCTGCAAAGCTTTTTCTTGAGTAACCACTTTGCAATGATAGAGAAACAATAAGGGATACATTTTTGTTTGATTATACTAAAAGTATTAAAGTAATGTTTATGATATTCTGGAAGAGGAATGATAAAAATGTTTCAGCCACTTTGCTTGAATGTCATGAATTTGGCCGTTTTTGTTTTGTGTGGTAGTATAGATTTCTGTCAATGGCATACATGTACCAGTTGAACAGAGTGGTGACCTTTGAATATTTGGAATGCCATAAAACTATGTCCGGTGAGACCATATTTTGTGTCAGTATTTGCTAGCTGACAAATCTTTAATTAAATTGTTGCTTTTTGAAATAATTTTTGGTGCCTTTATTGAATTGGTTCTTGTTATATGGCAGAGACCTGCTGCAGAGGTGGTCCGTGCTGTAAACAAGTTTAAGGCTGACTTTGGAGGGCAAATTGTTTCTTTGGAGCGTGTGCAACCTTCTTCTGATCATGTTCCTCACAGGTTTTTCTTTATCGTATGATTAGGTTTTGATTATGATTTCCGTTTTCATTTTTTTCTAGATTTTTTCAGTCAAACATTGCAAGAAAATTTGATCACTGGGATTGCACTTTTAGTGTTTTTATTGGTAGGGTTCCTGCGGATGGATTGTTTTTACAAATGCTAAGTTATAACTATCTGTTGTCCTGCATATTATTGGACCAGCTGGTCCAAGCAATATTTTAAAATTAATAATAGCCTTGAGAAGTTTAAAACTTTGCAATTACTAATCGGAGTGTAATATATGTTATGGGGCAATTTGGTTGTCCCCATGAATTTAATACTACTTTTCTCTTTTAATGTCTTGTTGCATGCATTAACCAAGCTAGTTGACCCTAATCCTCAGTAAATGGTAATTAAATATAAAAATAAAATCTTTGACAGAGATCTTTTATGGATGCATGCATGCATATCCATTAGTGTCGAGACACATGGATACACAATTTATGCAAAATGTATTTTTCTTTTTCATTTGCTTGAGTTTGAATTTTATGGACTCTCTTCTACCTTCTTTGCAGGTACCTACTAGCTGAAGCAGGTGACACATTGTTTGCTTCCTTTATTGGAACAAAGCAGTACAAGTAAGCATAGTAATACTCCTTTTTGAGCTTTCAACTAGCCATTACTTCTACAAAGTATGATAACTTTTTCCTGTTATATAGGGATGTTATGACCGATGCAAATATACTGCAAGGAGCTATATTTCATGAGGATGCTGCTGAGGATATTGACAGAACTGAGGTAGTTGAGACTAAAAAGGTTGAAGGACAGAAAGGAAATGGAGAAAATCAGTGGAAGCCCCTGGAATCAAAACCAAGGCAACTGAATGATAAACCTAAACCTGCTGCGCATCGTGTATGACTGCGTTATGTCATTTTTATCATTGCTTTAATTTGTATTAGCAGCATATGTTAAACATGTTTTGACTACTATCACCTATTCACTATTTTTCTTTTTTCTTATACATTTAAACTAGGATAGTGTGTTGCAATACATATATACATAAATATATTAACCTTTTAACTTTTTGGATTATAATATTTAGGGTTTCATGGCTCGTGCTAAAGGCGTACCTGCTTTAGAGTTGTACAGGCTTGCTCAGAAAAAGAAGCGAAAGCTTGTATTATGTGGACACTCATTAGGTGGAGCAGTAAGTCTGATTGGTTTTTTTATTAATATTTTCCAGCTTTTTGGTTGTGAGTAATGTAAATGTCTGTGCTCCATGCTTGTTTTGTTTCTGTAGGTAGCTGCATTAGCTACACTTGCCATATTGAGGGTTGTTGCTGCATCCTCGTCATCAAAAGAAAATGACAAAGTTCAGGTCAAATGTATAACATTCTCGCAGCCTGCAGTTGGGAATGCGGCTTTAAGAGAGTAGGTATCAGATCATAAGATAACAATCTTTAATTTTTCCTATGAAAAAATCATTTTATAAGTACCTATTAGAGTTGGTAGAAGAAGAAAGTCTTGATGTGTTCCTTTTTTTTTCGTTTCCCACTTATAGAGCTATATGGTTAATTTATTATTTTCTATTTGCCAGTTATGTTAATAGAAAAGGATGGCAGCATTATTTCAAGAGTTACTGCATTCCTGAGGATTTAGTGCCTCGTATCCTGTCACCTGCTTATTTTCATCATTACAATGTTCAGCCTTTGCAAGTGGCTGCTGAAGTTGAGAGTAATAGTTTGTCAAGGTCAAAACATGAAGAAGGGGTAGAGAGATCAAGAGCAGAGAAGCTGAAAGAAAATGAAGGGGAGCAGTTAGTTCTGGGTTTAGGCCCTGTGCAGAGATCCTTTTGGAGACTTTCAAGGCTTGTTCCTTTAGCGGGTATAAGAAGTCAATTCTATAAGTACAGAGGAAAACAGGGTGGTCCTCTAGAAGCATCTTCTGTGACTGATTCTGCTGTGGCATCTTCAATTGAAGAAGTAACAGATGAGCCAGAGTCTCTTGAAATCCAAGAGGGTTCTGATGGTGTCTCTCTTAAACCGCTTTCTGACACTAACAATGGATTGTCAGATGTAGCATCAACCAGCAAATTAGCAGAGAAAAGCAATACTTATGATGGGGATGGAAGGAAATGGCGAACGGTGCCTTCTTTACCTTCATATGTACCATTTGGGCAGGTACATATTATGTATTAGTACATTCTTTAACTTTATTGAAACAATTTTTATGGTGGTTTCTTTTGATGATAGGATGACCCTTTGATGGGTAGGATTGCACTCTCTTTAGACATGTTGGCTAGTTTTACCTATTCTTAGATATCATTTCTGGTTTGCTTTTGTCTTATCAAAGTTATTAATATGATTAAACTAGAATGAAAAAAATGGTATTTTGGTCAAGTTATTTGCTATATTTCAGAGCAAAAGCATCATTGTATGCCGTTTTTCCTGATCCGACTTCCTATGATATTTACCATAGGCTAATCTTGCTATTATTCAGTTGAATATGTTTATAATATCATTTAATGTTATTTATTCATAACAGCTTTATCTCTTGGAGAATTCAACTGTGGAATCACTATCAGGTGCAGAGTATTCGAAGTTAACATCGGTACGAGCTTCCTTTCATACTCAGTATCCATTATGCTTTTATTTTCTTAGAGAAAAGTAAAGAAATTGATCAACTTCTTGCCTTCTGACGGGAATGTTTGGCATATAATTCCGCACAAAATTTATTTATTTTTAATAGCACTGCAAGTTTACTGGTATTAGTTGTTGGTCACACCTTCTGGGATCTCTCATTTTGCTTGATTTCTTCTGGCAAAGACATTTTCAGGTCAGATCTGTGATTGCTGAACTGAGGGAACGATTTCAATCACATTCAATGAGGTCATATCGGTCTCGATTTCAGAGGTAATGTAATGCTGTACTCAATAGATATGTGCATACATATCTTATCTTTTCAGTCTTGATTTGGCATAGTATACGTTCAATTTTGTGGTTAGTAGGTCTAGATTGCTTGTACAGACTCCATGAATAAACAGTTGCTACTCTCAGTTTAAGATCACCAGCTGCTGTCATTATTGCTACCACCACCTGATTTGCTGCCACATCATGACCACTGCAACTATCACCTACACCAGCATCAATTTGATCAATGTCATTACCACCATGACATCAATGCCACGTGTTCAAATATTGAGATACTAAGAGTTTTGGATTGCATCTTAACTTTTGAAAATTATGTTGGGATCCCTAATTAAATAAATCCTTAATTAGTTGATCTCTGCAGAATATCTTAGATGACAGCAACAGATCTTTTTTCAGAATAACAAACTGGTGGTCATTCTTGTCCGTTACTTCTTCTTACGCACAATTTCTTATATTCCATTCTTTTTCTGCTTTTGTGCCTGCTCTCTGGACCAGAAATTTACAGTTTCACCATTTTCGCAATTATCACTTGCAAATGAAATAAGATTGAGCAAATAGTTGGTTTTTCTCTGAAAGCTTAAGTCACTAATGGGATTTGTGAAATCTTCTTCCTTTGTGTATTTTCGAGAGTTTTTCTTCAAACATGCAATTGGAGTAGATGTGGTTTACTTGAAATTTAATATGGTAGGTTTTAACTATTGGTGCATTCTAATTTTCTTTGCAGAATCTATGACCTGTGCATGAGTGATGATGCTGGGTTTTTCTCAGGAATGGAGCATTTACAGCAGTTTCCACATTTACAACAATGGCTTGGCCTCGCAATAGCAGGTACTGTGGAGCTTGGACATATTGTTGAGTCCCCAGTTATTCGAACAGCTACTTCAGTTGTTCCTCTCGGATGGAGTGGTATTCCTGGTGAGAAGAATTCAGAGCCTTTAAAGGTTGATATAACTGGTTTCAGGTTGCATTTGTGTAATCTGGTTCATGCTCAAGTAAATGGTAACTGGTATATGACTTTCCCCATTTCTTTGCTCATTTTTTTTTTTTTTTTAAAATTGGTTTTGGAACTTTGTGTGCCTATGAGTATTCTCGCTCTCTCTCTCTCTCACAGATAAGAAACAGTAAAAAAATTATTATGATAACTTTAAGTGTGCATATATCCCCAAACTTTTTCCTTGATTAAGATGTATTTTCATCTGTTTGATCTTTGGACCTGACATTTTTCTTATAAGTTTCTGGGTTATCCTCTCTTTGCTCTCTCTCTCTCTCTTTCCTTTTGTTTTGTTTTTGAAATTTACTATAGGAAAATTCAGAGATTCATTAGTGTGCAATACTGAGCTTGGATAATTTAATCAATCAAACCTGGAGTGATTTGAATATCAAAGGTTTCAAATCAGAAGAGGATTTATAGCCTAGAGTGTGCATTGCTTATAAAATGTGGGCATCTTGAGTTGATGTACACCTTGGTAATTGTAGTCCATCATATAAATTGATTTATTATTTTTCTTTATCATCAACACTTTTATGAATCCTGTTATTTATTAACATAATTGGTTATCATTTATATTTTTTTATTATGAGATTCTGTTGTTTTTTATCACATTTTTTTTCTTAATCAGGTGTTCAACTACTGTGGAATCATTTCCTTCAACCCCAACATATTCATACAATATCGGATTAGAACCAGAGTTGCAAAAAATACGAGTCTTAGTTGGAGCTCCATTGAGACGACCTCCAAAGCATCAGATGGTGGCAGACTCTTTAATGTCTGTGTTTCCTTCTATTGATTCAGAAACTGTTAACCATAATAGGGAACATAGATCAGGGTCATGTCATATCGAAAAATCGATCTGTCCTGAGGGTTTGAGTGACTTTTTTATATTCTGCACTAGTGATTTTGCCACTGTCTCCAAGGAGGTTCATGTGAGAACTCGTAGGGTGCGACTACTTGGCCTTGAGGTATGAATGTGTTACATTCTAATTGAAATAGTGGGTGATTCTGTTTGTTTTTTGCATAATATTAAGCACGGCTATGGGTATCGTGTAGGGTGCTGGTAAAACGTCCCTTTTAAAGGCAATCCTGAGTAAAGGCAAATTAACCACTATTCCCAATAGTGAAAATTTGCTTGTGGAAGCTGATGTTCAAGAAGGTATTGCTGGTGGTTTATGCTACTCTGAGTCAGCTGGCGTAAATTTGCAGGTACATCTATTTTAACCGGTTGCCCGGTTATAACTTTNCTATAGGAAAATTCAGAGATTCATTGGTGTGCAATACTGAGCTTGGATAATTTAATCAATCGAACCTGGAGTGATTTGACTATCATAGGTTTCAAATCAGAAGAGGATTTATAGCCTAGAGTGTGCATTGCTTATAAAATGTGGGCATCTTGAGTTGATGTACACCTTGGTAATTGTAGTCCATCATATAAATTGATTTATTATTTTTCTTTATCATCAACACTTTTATGAATCCTGTTATTTATTAACATAATTGGTTATCATTTATATTTTTTTATTATGAGATTCTGTTGTTTTTTATCACATTTTTTTTCTTAATCAGGTGTTCAACTACTGTGGAATCATTTCCTTCAACCCCAACATATTCGTACAATATCGGATTAGAACCAGAGTCGCAAAAAATACGAGTCTTAGTTGGAGCTCCATTGAGACGACCTCCAAAGCATCAGATGGTGGCAGACTCTTTAATGTCTGTGTTTCCTTCTATTGATTCAGAAACTGTTAACCATAATAGGGAACATAGATCAGGGTCATGTCATATCGAAAAATCGATCTGTCCTGAGGGTTTGAGTGACTTTTTTATATTCTGCACTAGTGATTTTGCCACTGTCTCCAAGGAGGTTCATGTGAGAACTCGTAGGGTGCGACTACTTGGCCTTGAGGTATGAATGTGTTACATTCTAATTGAAATAGGGGGTGTTTCTGTTTGTTTTTTGCATAATATTAAGCACGGCTATGGGTATCGTGTAGGGTGCTGGTAAAACTTCCCTTTTAAAGGCAATCCTGAGTAAAGGCAAATTAACCACTATTCCCAATAATGAAAATTTGCTTGTGGAAGCTGATGTTCAAGAAGGTATTGCTGGTGGTTTATGCTACTCTGAGTCAGCTGGCGTAAATTTGCAGGTACATCTATTTTAACCGGTTGCCCGGTTATAACTTTTTTTTATTTTAATTATTCTGTCAACTTCGATATTGACATAGAGGTTGTGCATAATTTAATGACTATAACTTCATAAGCTTTACCTATTTTAGGTTGTGTGATAAATTGCAGAATATCCACTTGCTGCTCATCTAATTCTTTGTCTCCTCAATACCTGATGTTCTTTTAGTCTCATTTTCATTTTACAGAAAAGCTGGCAGTTGCCTATGTAACCTTCAGGGCTGCCATTGGAATCAATTTGGGTGTGGATTGAATAAAATTTGTATTTGAATCTGATTATTAACATAGAGTACCTGACTTTGAAGTGAAATAGAGGATCTTCTGAATCTGAAACAAGTTCGAATTTGGTAGGAAATTGTAAGCCTAAGTTTAATCATTGGATCCATATTAGAAAACTTCTGATTGTAATCTGGTTTTTGGAATTTAACTTCTTACCCAATGGAATTAGAATAAAGCATGGCAGAAAATGAATGCAATGTATAAATTTTGGAATGAAAATGAATGCAATGTATAACACAAGAAGCAGCATCAATGAATTTGAGGGCTGTATTACTTGGATAGATGGAATATCTTTGGAATATGAAGTTTTTACTTTCGTTAGGGCTTGAACTCTTTTTCTGCATTTTGGTTGCTTTTTTTATTTTTTCTAATGTTCTCTGTTTTGTAGTTTAACTTTATTTTTACCTCATGCTTTTGAACTGCAGGAGTTGACCATGGAGGCTGTCCGTTTCAGGGATGAACTATGGATGGGAATTCGGGACCTCAGTAGAAAGACAGATTTGATTGTTCTTGTGCATAATCTATCTCATAAGATACCTAGATACAATCAACCGAATGCATCACAGCAGCAGCCAGCGCTTTCACTTCTGTTAGATGAGGCTAAAGCCCTTGGAATCCCATGGGTCCTTGCCATTACCAATAAATTTTCTGTCAGTGCCCACCAGCAAAGAACAGTGATTGACGCAGTTGTGCAGGCATATCAAGCGTCTCCAAGCACCACAGAAGTTATCAATTCTTGTCCATATGTTATGCCTGGTGCTGCAAGTGCTTCTTTGTCTTGGAATGAAACTGGTGGAGATTCAGATGGGAGGATGGGTGCTCAGAAGCTTCTTTTTGCTCCAATTAATTTAGTCCGGAAGCCTTTCCAGAGGAAAGACACTATTTTCCCTGTGGAGGGTATAAATTCTCTTTGTCAGCTTGTCCACCGAGCGCTTAGGAGTCATGAGGAGGTCTCCTTACAGGTAGGCACATTGCAGTACATATATATGTATATGTGTATGTGTGTGTGTGTGTAATTTATCAATGAATTCTTTCTGTGTAGTTTAAGAGAATCATAGGAATAATGAAATAACTGACTTAAGTCTTTGTGCAAACTCCAAAAATAGAGAAATTAGAAATTGTTAGTTATATGGAATGAATTGGCAAAAACATGTAAATATGTCCCTAGACGATCAGTTCTTGGTACTGCTAAAATCCGTTATGGTGGCTTCGAATTTGTTGATTGGCATCTTTTTATAGACAAGTTTGCTTGTAACATTTAACTATGTTCATGAATCTGGGTATTTCTAATGTAGATTGGATTCAATTAGTGCCCTTAGCATGTATAAGTTTGGTTGGTTGAACATAGGATAATTGTTCTAAGAATCAACTTATTGGTTATTCAATGATGTTATAGTTTTTATAATCTCCTCTTATGTTGCCTCTTTTTTCCCCAAGGAACTTGCTAGAGATAGGCTGTTGGTCGAGTTGGAAAGAGAACGTGCTTTGGCAATAGAGGCAAATTCAAAAGCCAAGGAATTCTCTTTAACGGCAGCTGCTGTGGGTGCTTCTCTTGGGGCTGGTCTAGGCATTGTCTTGGCTGTTGTCATGGGTGCAGCATCTGCTTTGAGGAAGCCCTGAGAATTCACTTTTTGGGGTCATATTCGAAACCTACTTATCTTCTCGATGTGGGGTCAGACTTTAGGGTTACCCTGCTTCAACTATTTCTGTTTACATTTATTTATGTCCCTGAATTGTTTTAGGTACCATCCACAGATCTCAGGCCATTTATTAATTCCATTCATGTAAATTTATTAAAATCTTGTGTAGAGAGACATGTAACATCACGTATAGAGAATTAAGTTGATTTGTTCCAAATAGAGTGCTCCAGTCTAGTGATGGATACGGCACAAATTGGAAATATCTCTCCTGTTGTCATCATGGAGAATTTCTTGATGAATTGTTTTAACCGCCAGAGAAATGAGAGAAAAACCTTTCTGAGCAAAAACTGGAAAGTATGCTCAAGTTGTGGATATAAAATTAGATCTCTATCTTCCGTCTTTATAAATGGAGAGAGGCGCCGACTAGTAACCCAATCGGTTGGTCAAGATATACGCTTATTCCAGAATGCTATTGGGGAAGGGCAAGGTACAATTGCCGGAAAATAAATAATTAAATATTGCTAACCGATACTCAGTGCTATGTGTTTGCACTTTGCACCAACTACACTTTCATGCAGAACAGAATTTATGTGATTTTGATAGTAGATTGGCAGGTTGATACACTTTAGTTGCCTATGAGTATGTAAACTGTGAGATCCTTTTTATTAAAAGCTCTCAATTGTATTTGGTAAACAATCGTAAGACATTCAGAATAATTGGCTTTAGAAATAGAAATACAATCATGTTTTATAGCTTACCCTAATGAAAACTTTCATCAAAATTGGAAAAACTTGGTAAAAATATCAGGTGAAATGAACAGAGCTCATCTGGTGCAGCATGAGAAATTGATCATACTTTCCTTTGATGAGTTGGCCCCATCCTTGACCAAAGTGACTCGGTTGCCGGACAACTCAGCTTTGTATGCATCAGAGTTTATGACTTTCTTGCTAATGTTGCTGTAAATTTCCCGGATAACAATCTCAAAAGCCGTTTGAACATTAGTAGACTCAAGTGCAGATGTCTCCATGAAGAATAATCCCTCTTCTTCTGCAAGGCTTCTACCTTCCTCTACGCTAACATCTCTTATATTCTCCAAATCACACTTATTTCCTACCAGCATTCTTGCCACCGTAGTATCACAATGAGCTGTGTGATTATACAAATGAGGGTTAAACTTCGTTGACTTCCCAAAACAAAAATTGAATAGCTAATTTCCAACGTCAGGCTCATAAATTGAAGAAAGAGGAGGTGGAATATTAAACATATCGAGATTCAGAAATGGAAATTGTTAGCTGTGTTCCACCCACAGGATTTACCACATTGCAGAAAGATTATTCACATGATAGTAATCTAGCCAATGAAGCTGGATTTAAGATTTGAAATTGTCTATTTAGAACCAATCTAGCTATGTTATATTTATATATAGCATTCAGAAAGGAATCCCGTCACTCATGTCTGGTAGGACTAAAGTATGCTTCCACTGGTTGAAAACTGGAATAGTTTTTGAGGATCATAATCAGAAATACAGAGTTCAATCACAATAATATCAATTTGTGATAAATATGCATCTGACCAAAGTTCAATTTTACAGAATCTCAATTTCCACCGGGAAAACTAGGCAACAGCAACAAGAGCCAAAAATTGACAAGCTAATTAGGGTTAAGGCTTATTCCAGAAGAAACTAACCTTCTGTTTGGTAGCCAAGAAAGAGAAAAAGAAGGGAAAACAAAAAGTCGGATTTCCATAATATATCTTATCACAATTTAGGGCAGAATATTCAGTATCAATAAACTTTTTAAAGGCCTAATACTAAAAGGAAGGCAACTTTTAAGCTAATCAAGCAAAATATCCAATCACAGAGTTACACACATCCATTTCCCAGAACACAATAAAGCAACAACATCAAACATAGTTAACCATAACATTTTTTTCTTTCTCGCACAAATTTTACTTCGCAAAACAAACAAGACACAAAACAGTGGAGGCAAGGCCATTGAATCACAGAAACTAAAACACAAATAAATAAATAAATAAATAGAATAATTACAAGACTTACTGGTTAGCTCTTCAAGCCAGCGTTTAATGCTATCAAAGCTACTTCTTCTGGTAATGTCATAAACAACAAGTGCACCAACAGCACCTCTATAGTAAGCAGAAGTAACAGCTCTGAACCTCTCTTGACCAGCAGTGTCCCAGATCTGTGCCTTCACTTCTTTCCCATCAATCTCCACCACCTGCGTCTGAAACTCTACTCCGATAGTCGCCTTTGAATTATTATCAAACTCATTCCTTGCAAACCGTGACAGTAGGTTTGATTTTCCCACCGCCGAGTCACCTATTAACACAATCTTGAACAAGTACTCTTCACCTTCTTGCTCTTCTTTCCCCATTGTTGGAGAGGCGCTTGTGCGTTTCGATGAGAATGTGAAGTGGGGTTTTAATTTTGAAGGGGGAAAAAATTGGCACGGACAAGACTGCGTAATTGGCGGGGGAATATTTTGGTGCGGCTTTGACTCTAATATTGAGTTGAGGTTGGGAGGAGATGGTGCTTCAGTTAAGTGGCTTTAGTTACCGCAGATGGATAGTTGGATTGAATAGATAAGCATTTGATGAGTTTGGTTGGGTTGGTGCCAGATGAAATTCATCATGTCAGGACATGTATGGCAATTGATGACTTATAAGACCATTTTAAGTGACTTGACCTCCAATAAATAAGAAATTTGTTATTTCATTCCCTCATTTTATTGGATTTTCAGCATTTTTCTTTTAATTCTTTGTTTATCATGTGAATGAAACGTCAATTATAAGCTAATTAGTCACTCTTCAATATTCAATATTCAACATCCACCGCTCCAACAATCTATCTTTATTCTTTTCACACCCTTTTTGTTTGCCTATCCAATAATTTTGGATCATGCTTAACAATTGTGATTAAGATCCTTTTTATTGTAGCCTAAGTAATAACATCTTACTCCCATAAAATTATAGTTTTGAGTGTGTTGAGATGAAAGAAAAGAAAAACTAATTAATTTTGATTTATAATTATATATACACCCCTATTTCTTCTGATGATCTCTAGAATTGTGGGTTCTGCATTTACCAGTAAGGGGCAGCTGTCCTCTCTCCAATTTTGACACATCTATTATCATTGGACTCCAAAAATGGTTGTTATTTCATTCTCGAATTCATGTTCTACAAAAATGGTTAGCAACCAAGCTGCTCTCGTTTCTCATGTACAAGTATGAACTGGAAGATAAGTAGTCATTGTGTGGCTGTGCGAGTGAAATGGTAACGAATAAAAGTTGGGGCAGGGAAGAGTGGCCTTCTTTTCAACTAATTTAAGCGGGTTGATAGAGGAAGTCAGTGGAGGAATCAATCATTGGTCATAACTATACAGTTACACCTACGACTATGATTCATCCAATCAACTACCCATGCCTGAAGGACTGGATTTCATTACTCTCTCATCAACTCTCAACCACATATGCACAATTTTTAAAAGCACTCATCTAAATTCTAAAGTGCCGTATATATATGCCTGATTCACAGCTGTCTATTTTCTACTTTACTCTGATATTTCACCAAAATCAACCAATCATTCCATTATAAACACATTATAGCCTTAGGTTAAGACATTAATCTGAGAAAATTTAACTCTCCGGCCATCCAAGTTTCAATTTAACAAAATGGCCTTAAAAATATTTTTCAATTTTTTTTTAATTTAGAGAAGCTGATGTGGCATAGTTAGGTTTCAATAAACATGTTAAATGGGTTAAAATGAAAGGATTAAAATATATGTGGGAAAAATATAATCAATAAAAGTTTTTTAAAATTTCAAATTTAAAAGTTCGCCCCACCCATTCAAATCGCTTAATCGAAACTGATTAGGGCAAAAATCGATTTCTTGAACCCTAAACAGAGACTGTGCGATTTCCAATCCAAACTCCAAATTTTCACACCATATTCAATCCTAAAATCAATTTGTTGAACCTTAAACGGAATAGAGTTGCGATTTCAGGCGATACAGTCGTGATTTTTCGATCGAAACTGCAAATTTTCACACCAAATGCAATCCTAAAATCGATTTCTTGAACCCTAAACGGAATCTCTGCGATTACCGACGATACAGTCTAGATTTCAGATCGAAACTGCAAATTTTCATACCAAATGCAATCCTAAAATATATTTCTTGAACCTTAAATGGAATCTCTGCGATTTTCGGCGATACAGTCTAGATTTTGATCGAAACTGCAATTTTTCACACTAAATTCAATCCTAAACCATGGCTGACATTCACAATGAGAACAAAAACCCAACGCCACTCGGAATCCTAGAGTCCGGTGACGCAAGCAGTTCAATGGCTGCTCCGGTGGATCATCCAATCAGTGAAGGTGGTCCACAGGCAGAGGAGACGACGGCGGCACAACAACAGAGAGAAGAATCGCAAAACGGTTCTGAAGAGGAGGAGACCAGCGAGAATTCAGGCAAGAAGGAGGAGGCCGAAGAGAATGTAGGCAACGAGGAGGCCGACGAAGAAAGGGTATGTATTTGTTTTGGGAGTGTATTGCTCTGTACTGTCGCTTAAGCGATCATTTGTATCGCTTAAGCGATTTATCCCTTTTACTCATGGTCGCTTAAATGATTCCAGATCGCTTAAGTGATCTTGTCCGAGGCAGAATCAACATCTACCCAGATCTAAGTTCGCTTAAGCGATTCATCTCTTTTACTCATGGTCGTTTAAGCAATTCCAGATCACTTAAGCAATTCCAGATCTCTTAAGCGATCTTGTTCGAGGCAGAATCATCTGCCCATATCTAAGATTGCTTAAGCAATCTTTTGTATCGTTTAAGCGATTCATCTTTACTCTTGGTCGCTTAAGCGATCTTGTCTAAGGCAGATTATCTGCTCAGATCTAAGATAGCTTAAGCAATTCATCTTTACTGTTGGTCGCTTAAGCGATTCCAGATTGCTTAAGCAATCTTTCGTATCGCTTAAGCGATTCATTCAGTTTAGTCTTGGTCGCTTAAGCGATTTCAGATCGCTTAAGAGATCTTGCACGAGGCAGAATCAAGATCTCTTAAGTGATCCGAAATCGCTTAAGCGACCATAGAGGTAATTTTTTGTTGTTGATATATTGTTTATTAGTTGTTTTGGTTTATTTTTGTTGTTGATATTTTGTTTATATTGATTGTGCAGATTGTACGGACCGTAAACTATAAAGACTACGGGTTAGACATTGTAAGCGAGAATATATCGTACTTCCCTGTAAGGGTGACGGTCAGGTCGAGTTGGGATGTTTTTGAGAGAATAAAGGAGATTTTACATGGATTGAGGAATGGTAACGACAATTCAAAGAGACTTGTTTCGGTCAGTTTTTGAAAATTGGAACAAATTGGAAAAAGGCGTTCTGGGGGCAAGGAGTGCATTATATGTTGTTGCACTCAGTAAAATGCCAAAAAAAGCAAGAAATGTGGTTCGTGGTGGATGGAAAGCCACTACATTTTGGGATGATGGAATATGCCTTGGTGACCGGCTTAGGATGTGGGAAAATGCCAAATGAGGATGAGGCACAGGCAATAAAGGAGAGTGGGCCAGCTGTAAGGTTGGCTAAGAAGATTTTGCAGGGGAAAACATCTATTACAGGACACGATTTAGAGAAGATTATAGGAAGAGTTCGGTTTACCGATCCAGAGAAGTTCAAACTGTGCTTGGTATTGTTCTTACATTCGATCCTAATGGCTGGTGACTCAATAAAAGCCATTGATATGGATTAGGTGAGGTTTGCAAGCAACTTAGACTTCTTTAATTCTTATCTGTGAGGATGGGTATCATTTAAGCGAACCATGGACTCTCTGCAAAGGAAAAACATGGCGTTAAAGTAGTCCCAATGGGTCGTGAAGGGTAAACCGAACACGTACAATTTGTTTGGCTTCCCATGGGCAATGCAGGTAAATATTAATAGTTTTTTGTTATATTTTTTGTAATATATGTGTTTGAATTATGATATGGATTGTTTTTTTATAATGTAGGCTTAGATGTATAAGGTCGTCCCTATCTTCGCTAAGACGGGGGGGAGGGGGAAGAGTTTGGATGTGTGACAACAATTTCTTAGGATGTTGCGGTGGCATGTCGAGAAGTGTACCCATTGGGATTACGATCAAATAGACATTGAAATTGAAGCGGCTGGGGTAAGATTAAAGGAGTAAGTTTTTGAATATGCAGTTACTTTAAAATGTCGCTTCAATCTGATTGATTTTGTTTCTTATTGCAGAAAGTCGTCCGTCTCTTTCTCACCGCTACCAGGGGTGAAGCGGAACATGAGTATGTCACATCTTTCGAACCGGTAGAGGATGAAAGGGATGAACTGATAGACCGCCTGATGCAAGACCTAGAAGGGGTCACGCATGTGACGGCAGTTGTAGGGCCACTGCTTGAGAATGTGGTTGACGCCGAGGATGATGAAGCTTCAATCGGCGAGAGGGAAGATGAGGAGAAGGAAAGGGAGGAAGAGGTTCGTATGCCTCAGCAAACCGGTACAACAAGTACCGCTTTGTCGAGACGTCGGCGTCGGGAGAATGAGGTGGTTGACCTCATAAATGGCTTGTTTGAGAGTTTTACAATAGCTGTTTATGACAGGTTTGACAAGATAGAAGAGTGGATAAAAATGGTGGAGGAGAAAATGGATAAGGTGGCTGAGAAAATTGGTACGGTGGAGGAGGAAGTTGGTGGAGTATTAAAGGCAGTTGAAGTGCAATCTGGGCTGAAAAGAGAGAGCCGAAATAACAAGTTTGTCAAATCGCCTTACACGGTAGTAACACATGGAAAGAAGAAGAAAATTAAGAAACAAATGGAGGAAGAAGCAAAAATAGAGGAGGTTAAGGAGGTTGGTGGAGGAAGTGGGGCAGTGATAATGGAGAAGGGTGAGGTGGGAGACGAAGGAGGCAGGGATGTACAAATGGAGGAAGAGGGAGGAAGTGGGCAAGCAGAAATGGACTCAAAGGTCGATTTGTACAAACCAATAGAGGAGGAAAAGAAAAAACTCTTCTATGCGTATTACAATGAATCAGGAAGTGATGCCCATGTAAAGTATAAGACAGGGGATTATCATCGGAAATGGTTTGAATAGTTGTTGACGATGGGTAGGTGGCTTGAGGACTCGGTGAGTTATTTTTGCTTAATTTTCCTTAATTTTTCTTATGTTTTCCAAACTTATCATGTTATTTTTAATTGATGCAGCACATCGATGAGGTATTAGCACTGATAAGGCAACGGCAGACCAGTAATGGTGATCTATTGTATCCCAACTGTGCCATCATCGATGTGGCATTTGGCCAAACGCTTTCGACATATCATAATTTAATTAAAAGGGCTGTTGGTGGAGGTGCAGCAAAAGGAGCCAAGCGAAAAAGACTAGCCCTAGAAGACTTGAACTGCATCCCTAATGATTTTAAGTTTGATGACAGGATTATGTAGTATATATGGGGGAAAAGGCCCAAATATGACCACAGTTGGGCAAAGGTTAAAAGAATCAACTGCATCATCAATGTCAGAGATATACACTGGATAGCAGTTGTCGCACATCTAGAGGAGGGGTTGTTGAAGATCTTTGACTGTAACCCAACTATTTGTCGAGACAAGCAATTGGAG